ATTCTTAGTTCAACTCTAACTGACTGCTGTTTTATACTCATATACTCACATTTATAGTTTTTCTCTTATTCCTAATATTCCAATGCCTACTTCTATTCATTCATCAATCGAGATAAAGATTAAAAAAAAGGAAACTATGCAGTGCCTTCCTGTTCTACAACAACACCATTGGTCCCCGATCTATGAGTTGATGGGTCGTTAATTAGGGTCCAGGTGTGGTAGCTGCCTCCCTGGCGTCGGTAGCATTGGTACTCAGTTCGGAAAACTAGATCGATGGAAAACAATTCAAGGAATTTAAAAAAAGAGAGAAGAGCAAGAAGATTCTACAGCAAACATGAAGCGAGAAGATGATGAAGAAGGAACAAAATAAGATGGATCGGATGTATATGAAGTGGATAACGTAACGGAATCAAATGCAAAAAATGTGTAGATGACGGAGAGGATACTGAAGAAGACGGATCCGGAAGAAAGTTGCCGGAAAATGGAAATTTTGCGAAAATTAAGTTAGAATACGAGAACAAGCAAAGATACGGATGAAGAAGACGAAGCAGTAGACGTATCGGAGAAAAAAAGAAGATGAACAAGCGGGAAGTAAGGCGAAGAAAACAAGGATTCTGATAAGACGAAGGGAGATGCAAGAAAACTACAATGGTGGTGTGAAAATGAAAGAAAATATTGGATAAAGCAAGCGGACTGGATCAAAGTAAGCCGCGCTGCTGAATTGACGTATTTTTGTTTTGCTGCGTATTTCTTTTCATTTAAAATTAAATTCAATTTAATTTGAAATAATTAAATTTTAAGCGGAATTGTAAAAACTGTGTAGTGAAATTATAAGTGAATTGCGTAGCGGTGATCAAATGGAGTCCCACTCCTTTAAGTTGCTGTTGAATAATGGAGTTCCGGAAGACAGCAGCTTGTTCCAGCTGGCGCAGACGCACAGCTCAGTTATATAAATAAAATCAATTATGATGCTCATTCAATACGCATCAATCAAGAACTGTTCTTCTGCTTAATTGAAAGTTTCAAAACATTATCAGTGGTTCATTATCATCGATAATCTATTGGGCGGGGCTTATGCTGTGTGAACATAGCGTCGGAATAATTGCGGTCTTGAAATGGGCTATTGGAACTGCGGTAGAGCTGTCATCTACTAACTCCCGGATTCAAGCTTCTAGCAGCCAGATTACTTGAGTGCAGGGAGATTTTATCCATAATGCCACTGCCAGACAGTTGGGAATGGGATTGTTACAATATTCAAGAAAGAAATACGAAAAGCACCGAAAAGTGATAGAGGAAGCGAGAGAAGAGTATTCCACTGCAGATGCCGATTATTCAACAGGACTCAACGAGAATCGAGATGGCAAAGATTCAGCAGCAAGGACACAATACCTAAGCGGTGAGATCTAACTGATTACAACTAGATATGAAAATATGATATGTATCCTACTAAATACGTGCCATCTACAAAGCAGGAATTGCTTTGATGATGGAAGTGTACACGCAGTACCAATATACATTTTAAATCGGTACTACGTGTATGCGGGGCTTGTTGTAAGTTAAAGTAACCTCGGAATGGACGTGAGTGACCAGGCATTCTGAAATGGGCTACTGAATCTCAACAGAACTATCACCTTTCAACTTCCGGGCTAAAATTGTTTGCAATGGGATCAGCATCTTCTTCTTCTTCTTCGCATTTTAAGCTTATTGCATATCGCATATTAGCTTATTGCGTGCTCTCACCTTAGTGTTCTAGATGCACTTCCACAGTTATTAATTGAGAGCTTTCGATGCCTGTACAATTTTTGCATTGATATGATTGTGTGGCAAGTTCAATCATACTTCTATGCCCAGGGAAGTCGAGAAATTTTCCAACCCGAAAAATTCCTAGACCGGACCGGGAATCGAACCCAGCCGCCTCCAGCATGGTCTTGCTTTGTAGCTGCGCCTTTACCGACTGAGCTAAGGGAGCTGGGATCAGCATAAGACTAATTATAAGATAATAATAGATTATATTGCAAACATTTTTCTTCCATAAAAACACTGCCGGACAGTGGAAGTTGGATTGTATATGCATACAGAAGTTGGATAAAAGCAAGCTAACATAGAAAGATGACGAGAAGATGATGAGGATGATGAGGATGCAGACGAAGCGAAGCGGAACTGTAATGGATAGTAAGGAACGGCTACGGAGAAAACGAAAAATAATGTAGAGAAGATATGTGGAAGATCATGAAGAAAGAAGATGGTGAAGAAAGAAGACGATGTAGAATGGGAACACGACGTTAGGCATACGGTCGTTAGGCATAAAGGACGTTAGGCATAAGGACGTTAGGCATAATGGACGTTAGGCAAAAAGGATGTTAGGCATAAAGGATGTTAGGCATAATGGACGTTAGGCATAATCTACCCGATGAATTCCAGAAGGATGATAATGGGGACCGTCTATTGATTGCTGACTTCGGAGACAATAATGAAAGAGCCTTAATTTTTGGAACTCATGAAACCTTGCGACGTCTTGGACAGGCAAAGTATTGGTTTACAGATGGTACGTTTGCCACGTTTGATTTCAAGATATAGTTCAACACTATGCTGAGTTTTCATTGCCAGATTATTTAACCGCTATCGCTACTAATCTTGGATCTAAGTAAATATGTAGCTACGGCACTTATGATTTGATAAATAATGGATTCCAAACTGTGCTTGTTAAATAAACTATGTTTGTTTAACTTGTATCATTTTTTATTCAACGCTTAGCCTAATTTAAGCATTGTTCCCCATGCTCGAAGCAGGTTTCTAGAGTTGCACAGCAGCAAGGTATTTTATGCCTAACGTCCATTATGCCTAATGACTTTATGCCTAACGCCCATTATGCCTAACGTATATGGGGTACACTCATATAGAATAAAGAAGAAGTACAGATGCAATTTATGGAAAAGAAGTGAAAAACAAGAGGTAAGCAAGCAGACGATGAACCTCGTTGAAATGAGCAAACTATAAGAAAGGCGAGTGAAATTTAAATTGCACTTTAAACACTAACACTCTCCCTCACATAACTCTAAGCACACCCACATACTGTTATAATAAAACCAATAGAAGTGACATGAATGTGACTAATAAATAGCAACAGCAACAATCTTCGGAAGTACTAAATCACTTTAGAAAATGTCTGAATCACTTTTGAAAATACTGAATCCTTTCGGACAACACTAAAACACTTTAAATCTAGATTAATTAATTTAATTCTTGTAATAACTTCGGATAGCACTGAATCACTTCAGAAAGTTTCGGAATCACTTCAGAAAGTACTGTATCAATCCAATCATGTTTGCTATCACTTCCTACTGCATCACTTCAGAAGAATCGGAATCACTTTGAACTCAGTTCTAAAATTACTGAATTACTGCAGAAAAGTTTGAGCTCAATTCAATAAGTACTGAATCATTGTGGATATCACAGAGATAATTGAGCATTTGTTTGTTTGGTTCATTCAGAGTCTTCTAGATTTTTCAGACTTTATATTTCGACTATGCCAGATTTCCCTGCAACTGAGCTGGCAACGCTGCTTTCAAGTGAGTCTTTTGTTGAATAGTGCAAGCATGCTCTGGAGAAATATCCTTCACCGACATGATTGAAAAATCATAGCTCATACGCGATAAGATGGGATAGGATGGTCTTCCGCATCCATACTGAGAACTGCTCCGAAGCAGTTTGTGATGATAAAATATTCATAGATTGTCGAACAAGACGTCGAATTTTGATGTTGTTTTCAATTAGCCTAATAGAGTGCGGCAGCATCATAGAAGTTGTGTGGGCTTGGTGAACATAGAATTTCATTACTGGTCCCATATGATGAAGTAGTGTTGCACCCTTACACACATAGCTGAGTGGTGTACTTGGACGTCTCCGGATTGCAATGCAATATAAAAGTCAGTTGGGAATCAACTAAAAGGAATTCAGAATATAGATGCTATAGATTCCATCGATGAGCGGAGGCGAAGTAGAATGTAGCGAAACGCACTGTCAATTAGTGTAGCCAAATTATTATTTATTTTCACTTCATTTTAATTTTTTTCTTGACTAAATTAATTGAGTAAATTAAAAATCAAAAGTATACATCACCATACCCGACAATTGAACGCTGCAAATACGGTGCTGCCCGGTTCGATGGAAGTCTGCTGGAAAATCAGAAAACGCTTTCCACACTCCACATTCCGATTTATTTCGTGGAAAATTGAAGCAGGAAATATTACCTCTTCTCGATTCACTGTTGCAGGAATTTATTTTGCACTTCATTTTGGACTTTTGAGCACGAACCATATCCAAACAAAGCTGCATAACGAAGAGTTCATTAATGGCTTGAACATTTTTTACAGATGCCAGTAAGAGTATTTATTTTTCATAGTTGCCAAAAACACTTTTTGTGCCTTCGCTTGACATTTGATTCTTGTTTCGTCGAATGTATTATGACGTTTTACGCGTACAACCTTTTCATCGTCACGACGATTGATTATTGATCTGTTGAGATTTCAAATTATCATGACGTTTGAGTCACTAAAGGGCCACCTACATTAGATCCGTTTGCGTCGCGTGACGTAAATTTGACAGTTAGACAATATATTTAGCTGTTAGTTTGCTTAAATGCGTCAGATCCGGATCTAATGTGAGTGGCCCTTAAGGGTACAAAAACGCATTGAAATTTAATGCACAAAGTCCTCATCCAATGTCAATCACCAATGTCAGCTTCCAGTTGAAATTCAACTTCGGTGTCGAATGAGGATTTACTCAATAAATCCACCATAGGAATCATAAAGCTAGATTAGCCACCTCGCATCGAGTAAATATATTTCGATATATGCAATGAAATGTAGATCTAACTCCGAATAAAAAAAATGCCTCCAATTATTATTTCAACAAAATCCCCCATCGGATTAATTCTACCCAAAAAAACATAGAAATTCGCGATCAATCTTCAGGAAAAAAAAATCGAATACTACGCTCCATCACAAGCACAATCCCTCCACCCCCCATCCACAGTAGATAGAATCCTCCGCCCCGTAGACGAACGACCCGGGCCAGGTGAAGGATTTAAGCCAGCGAGCACTTTTCACGTCTGCACACGCTGTTTGCCATTCGCGTGCAAATCCGGTGGCCTTGTAATAAACGGTCACGTCTCGGTCGGAAATGAACTGTCGCCGTTGCGGGTTTGATTTATCATGCTGCTCCGTCCCAAACCGGTCCATTGAGATGCGAGTCAGAACGGTTCGAAGATGGTCGCGTTCCGTGACTTTTCCAACTGACGATTCCAAATTCCCTTTGAAGAAACGTTTGGCGCCCCGGGAGGCGATAATCTTGTCCAGATTTACCCCCGGCAACTCGGACCAATCTCCATCGAACGGATCACTGCAGACGTAGTAGCGAAAAACATTCAATTTCACCTCCAGCAGAGCTTTTGCCGATGCGAACTTTAGCTGGTTCAAACTCAAATCCGATGACGCCAGCGTGGCACTGCAGGAAACCACATCCAAGCTGCCCATCACGCTGAGTTCTACTTCCGGTTCCTGAGCCTCATCGATCGCTTCCTCGATGATCCGATCAATGACGGGAATGGCGACCGCCGTTGCCAACTGCTCGTCCGTATCGGGGGGAATGGCCGCCTCCAGAATCTGTTCGATCATTTCCATGGCCATCGATTCGGCACCGCACCAGTCGGATATGATCGAATCATCCGAGACGGTCATTCGGATGAGTCCCTCTATAACGTCCCGGGCAATTTCAGCCTTTTCCTGGCTAAGTTGAAGCTCCAGTTGGACGGCTTCGAAGCTGTCCCGTTCCAATTCAATGACGTAGTAGCTTCCGGTCAAAGTGATAACCGTGCCCCAGAAGCGGACGGCTTTGACATTTTCACCACGGCGCAGCAGCTCCATCTGGCGGTCAATGAAATAGTCCATGGATGGAGGAAGGGCAAAACCTATCTGGGCCCAGAGCGGGGCAAGCTGGGCAATGTTCAGCGGAGGACGAAGACCTTCCTGCGACTAAGTCTGACGCATTAAAATTTTAAAGAAGAGCGGAAAAAGAAGCGACAACTACCTTGATTTTGCGAAGCACAACGTTGGCAAAGTCCACCTTCAGCTCGTTTTCAGCTCCTTTGACATTTGTAATTTTGTAGTCCGGATGGATGAAATGCCCCTGCTTGACCAGTCGGCAGTACTCTTCGAACAGTTCGACGGCATTTTTCGGCTTTTCGGCAAGTATTCTGGATACCAAGCGCATCAGTAGAGTGAACCTTGGATAAAAATACTGCATTACATTTTATGGCTCGACGATCAAAATGGAAAGCATCTACATATTGTCACCATTGTCTCCGATCTGGGAAAGCAGCAGATTCCGGGCATTAGCCAGGGCATTCTCGGTACTCAACCGACGCTCTTCTTGGCGGTTGTTTGCTTCCAGGATGTCACGTTCCAAGACCGGACTTGCTGGTAGGTTACCCTCCATTTTGAATACGTTTTGACAGGTGCGCACTGACGCAGGTTTTTGGATCATGGTATGCTGCGTTGAATGAAGTTTGCTAATCTGCTCCTAAAGCCTAGTATGTACACTAGAGTGATGCAAATTTTGAAATTTTCGCTCCACAATACTTAAACAATTCCAAATCGGATCCTGAATAACCTCTCAAAATTTGAACCCATATGGTGAGAAACTGAGATGGCACAAACCATTTGAAGTTTATATGGGAATTACTATGGTAAAACCAAGATTTTTGTTCATGTCTGTCTAATAATCCACCATATCGGTCTGCTTCAAAAACTTTCTACTGTACTTGTAGGAAATTTTCCCAGCTACAACTTTGCTAAAGATCACATTTTGATTAAATGCAAGGATCGAAAGTTATCAATGGTTCAATACGCTGATGTCTTATGATCATGCTCAATCAACTGCTCAGCAGGCAACATTGGTGTTTTTGGGGCGTTGAATAGGACACAACAATCATGGCTACTATGTCACACTGCAAAATACAGTGTTGCCTACAGAGCAGCTGCTTGATCATGTCATAAGTTTACCAATCTCTTAAATAATTAATTACTTTTTCCTGTCTCGTTTTCCATAGAAACGATTTTCAGCAAAGTTGTAGCTGAGAAAATTTTCTATAAGAATGGCTATCGAACTGTTTCGCAGCTTAATATGGAAAAAGACTAGAAGGCAATGAACAAAAAGTTGAGATGTCCCATAGTAATTTACAAGTAAACTTCAAATGGCTTGTGCGAAGTCTGTTTCTAACCAAATGAGTTGTAACTTTGGGAGGCTAATCAGGACCCGATTTGAAACCATTTAAGCACTGTGGAGCGAAAAAGTCAAATTTTGCATCAGTCTAATGTACACTGAATCCTCCGTTTACGAATTCTTTTTTATGCAGTATTCAATTTACGTCCCTCGTTTTACGAAGTAAATCACAATTGACGAAGTTTTTTTATTGCGATTTTGCGAAACTGGGAAATTCTGTGAAATACCCCACAATATGGGTATTTTTGGAATCGGAGTGACGTGTAAGGACCAGAAAACCATAGTTCTAGATAGAGCTGGAATTAGGGCGTAACAGCCTTTGTAAACAATGACTTCTCTCCATGCTTTCACAAAGGTCATGGCTCTGCCTGGCAAATCGACATCACCATCGAGTTGGGATGACTTCCCCTACTCGATGGATATGTTGGTTTGTGTAGGCGTGCATTGAATTCCTGGCAATCAACGAGAGAAGGCATTGTTTACACAGGCTGTTACGCCCTAATTCCAGCTCTATCGAGAGTTGACGCCATTTTGAAATCTAAGATGGCGGCTTCCGGTTAGAGAAAAACTTGGAAATTCCGTCAAATACCCCACAATATGGGTATTTTTGGAATCGGAGTGACGTGTAGGAACCGGAAATCGATGTCTGATGTGATTTTGAAATCCAAGATGGTGGCTTCTAGTTACAGAAAAGCTTGGAAATTCTTATATTAGTTAAATACCCCGCAATATGGGTATTTTTGCTATCGGCGTGACGTGTAGGGATCAGAATTCGATATTGTGGCTGATTAACTGACTTTTTTCATATTCGGGAAGTTTTTAATGGACGTTTCGTGACCACGTAGGTCTGGAATTCATACACATAGGTATGAACCAAGCTTTACTGTTTATTATTCGGAAGACCTTGGATACGGAAAGAACTTTGTTGAAACCAGCCGCTTTCAAGATGGTTAGGATATCCAGATACAATATGTTAGTGTTCACACTACCGCTGTGTTGTGAGAAAATTCCGAGATGATCTGAATTGAGCATCCGGAAGACCTTTATCTCCAGAATAAATTTATCATGAACGAAAAACCTCTGATAGAAAAATTCCATTGTTTGTTCAAAGCGAGCAATTTGCGATAGAGCTATTCGCTTAGTGAGAGGAAAATCAGTCGAGTCCACCGGAAGCTCGATGTGGTATTTCAGTTGATCCGAAGCGGGTTTCCAATGAAGACCCAAAGACTTAATGCATTGGTCACGATCCAGATCAATTGAGGCTTTGAGAGCTCGGTTTTCCGGTGCGAGACCTTCCAAAACTGCTTCTTCGTTAGATGCCCATTTTCTAAGTTGAAATCCGCCTCTGGCTAGGAGTGCTTCTAGCTGTTGACGGAGCTTAGTTGCTTCTTCGATGCTGCTTGCTCCTGAGAAAAGGTCGTCTACGTAGAAGTCTTTACGCAATACCTCAGCTGCTTCAGGATAACTGTCCTTCTCGTCGTCTGCCAGTTGCAGGAGAACTCGAGTAGCGAGAAACGGTGCGCTTGCAGTACCGTAGGTAACTGTTAGGAGCTCGTAGGTACCCAATGGCTGGTTCAGTGATGGCGTCCAGACTATTCGTAGAAACGGAGTGTCACGCTCGTCTACTAAAACTTGACGATACATCTGCTTGGCGTCAGCGATGATCATCACTCGACGGATTCTGGAACGCATGATGATTGAACGGATCTCTTGCTGGACGGTAATGAGTGCACGATGCATCGAAGACTACTCGTAGCTTTGTTGTAGTACTCTCTTCTCGAACCACAGCGTGGTGAGGCATGTGATAGCATGGGGACGGAGGTGATTGATAGTCAAAGACTTGCTTCATGTGACCCAAAGCAAGGTACTCGTCTATGAAATCACGATATGGCTGGGCAAGTTCGGAGTTGCGACCGAGGCGACCTTCCAGCATCCGAAAACGGTAAACAGCAGTGCGACGGTTGTCACCAATTTGCTTGATGACGTCATCCTTTATCGGTAAACGAACGATGTACCTTCCTTCAGAGTTGTGCCTAACCGATCGTTGAAAGTGTTCTTCACAAGCTGCTTCTTCGACGGAGTAGCAAGGTGAAGTGTCGTTTTCTTCGATGGCCCAGAATTTCTCCATCCACTGGTGTAGTTCAGCAACAGTGGCAACGTTGGCGATTACTGGAGTCGTAGGAGTACCGTACGAAGCCTTTCCAGATACTATCCAACCGAGGACCGAGTTAACCAAGGTCGGAAGAGAATTGCCAAGTTGGATACGCCCAGAAAACTTGAATAGATCGAAGAACACCTCAGCGCCGATGATAATGTCGATGGGGTTTGCATTGTAGAAAGCCGGGTCGGCTAATTGAACACCAAGAGGAATTTTCCACGAGCTAGCGTCGAAAGAAGCAGTCGGTAGATCTATGGTAACCTTAGGCAGGACCAGGAATTCAACCGAGGTGGAGTAATCGCAAACTCTCGAACGAACAGTAGAGACGATCTTGTACCTTGCATATGTCGATGATTGTCCTATCCCCGAAATCGGTACAGAGACTTTGTAGCGCTTTGCCTTGACAAGCTGCGAGAAAGACTCGGTAATAAAGCAGCATTCACTACCGGAGTCGAGGAGAGCTCTTGCGACATGTGCAGTCCCATTGTCGTCGACCATATTGACGACAGCTGACACGGATGCCATTGGTTGTTCACCAGACGTAGAAGTAGTTGGTGTTTTGGTTTGAGAAGAATCCGTAGTCCTGGAGTTCGCAGCGACTGACTTCTCCTCAGAGCAGAGCTGGATGTGGTGGCGACCTCGACATTTACGGCAAGAACTAGCCGATGGACAGTCCCGAGCATGATGACCCTGTCGTAGGCAGTTACGGCAGAGTTGATGTCGTCGAACCTCCCTTTCCTTAGCCACCAAGTCGAGTTTGGCGAACGACAAACACAAATAGAGCGGATGGTGATCGGAGCAGACGATACATTTCCGACCGAAGTTGAATTGGCTGGCCCCATGACTGGCAACCGGACGTTGAGCAGATTTCTTGAGCTGCTGAGTGAACGCTGGAGCTTCCACAACTTTCCCCTGAATTGTTTGTAGGACAGTTACTCTTCGCTGAATAAAAGACGTAAGATTGTTGAAGGCGATGGCATCCTTCGTTGACGAATACTCCTCCCAGTCTCGTCGAGTGGTTGGGTCCAAACGGATACTCAGCATTCGTATAAGGATGATATCCCAAAACTCAGTCTTTTCACCAAGCTGCTTCAAGACCTTGACATTGGCTTCAAACTTTTCAACCAGCGAATGAAGTTCGGCAGCAGATTCACGTTTCAACGTAGGAAACTCGAAAAGAGCGTCAAGGTAGGATTGCTTCAATCGAGAAGGATTTTGGAAATGGTCTACCAGCAGGTTCCAAGCGACTGGATAGTTGTTCGCACTTATAGGAATCGTTTGAACCAGCTTCAGGGCATCTCCAGCCAAAGAAGAACGTAGATAATAAAACTTCTGGATATTGGACAACTCGAGCGATGCGTGAACCAGCGAAACGAACAAGTCATGAAAGTTGAGCCAGTTGTCTAGGTTTCCATTAAAGACGGGCAACTTCACATCAGGTAAGCGGACATGCGACGATGAAGAAGCAGGGATTTGCGAGCTCAAAGCAGTATTCAGGCAGGGTGTGGAAGGCGTTTTATTGTTTGACAGCAAAAATCCCTTTACACGATAGTATGCTGTCTCGAAATCGGTTCGCTGCTTTAGCTGCTGGTCGATAGTGGCCTCGTCAAGTGTCTCAAGCTCGGACTGGACTAGCTTAAACTCAGTCCATAGAGCGTCGAGATTGTCTAGGCGAACCGGGATCTCACACGCACCGGTTTCTTCATCGTTACTATCGACGAAGGCCTTGATGAGATCGGTAGACATGGTGTTGAGCAGGGTCTGTAATGCGAAAGACCGCGTAGCTCACACGAGAGAGAGTAAATGTTATTGGAAAATTAATTACCTTTTTGAAGGCAATTAGTGCCTTGTATTGAATAATTCCAAGCAGCTGCGGTAAAGATGAATGCGGGTTACGGGATTCAGCGGTTCTGCAAAACGAAAGACCGCGTAGCCCAAAAAAGGAGAGGTAGAAATAATAGGAATGCTAATTACCTTTTAAAGGCAATGAATTGCCTTGAATCGATTGTATCAGCCAATGGGCTTTTGTGATTCCCTCAGTGGCTACGATGGCGGATCCTACGTGACTCGTCTCACGGGTGCAATGGCGGTTTGCTTCTCCACGGGAGGGTTCCAGAAAGGTCGGAGTTTCAACGTCCAATTTGGTTCGAAGGACCAAATCTTCGATGGATCAGCGGAGAACAGTAGTTCTGTGTTAAATTTTCTTCTTTCAGGGCACCACAGAGCACAACGGGAACACGAAAGTCTTTTGAAATCGATTTCTTTTATTTTTAGATTCCTATTATTTCTAATATCACGCCGATATAGAGCACAAGTGAATAGCTACAGACTTCTGTAATTTAATTACTAACGTAACTAGGTCACTACTTTTATTTCTAACTTCTAAAAATATAATTCAAAAAAACTACACTGAACTTTCGGTTTCACTTTGTTTGTTGTGATTCTGGTTCGCTGTCGATGGGTGTCGAGTTGTCGCACGAAAAGAGGACGAGCACGTTGACAAGTCGGCCTTTTATAGGGGATTCCTATAATATATATTCCTAGACCGGATAGAGTGAGACCGACAATTCTCTTTTTAGCCGGGCGCCATGATCGACGAACGAGAATGGTTTATGCTGTCGGTCCATGAGGGTTGACTCCTAGATGGCGCGCCGATACACTTTTCGTCGATGTACGAACAATAGGTAAAGTGCGGATATGGCGGAAATTAGATCTTAACACTATGGTCCGTTTGTAAAATTCGACGATCACCAAACATTAATTGGTACCCTAATGCTAATGGAACACTATGCTTTTTTCAGTATTAAGCTCAAGGTAAAACTCAATGGTAGCATCCAAGGGGCAAGACAGCTCCTCAATGAGCAATTTCAGAGTTGCTTTTGGGGCACCTCGAGTAACTCACATTGCTTAGTGAGCAAGAACGCTGTCTTTTGCTTTCTCACTTTTCGCATCACAGCAACATATGGAGGTGCGAAGCCGAAAAGCTGTTGTCAAGCAAAACAACAACCAAAATCGGAGACTTTCGGCCTACAACTCCAGGGGAGTATGATTGCGATTCTGAAGTCCTAAATTTTTTCGGTTCCCAGCTCCCGGGATCGCTCTTCGAATGGCCTACGAATTAAAAACAAGTATCAATACGTCCGTGGGCTGAGGACTAAAATCGACTCGATTTTCTTGGCTGTTGCGGAGGTTGAATATGATTTGATCGTACTGATGTGGAAACGTGACGTCCCTGAACAGTCGAAAATCGCGCGGTGGAGGCTTTCTGGCTGCTGACTCAACTAGCCTAACCAACTACCTATGTAACTCGCCCATTTACAGCCTGCTGGGACAGCTCTGGATTGTCGTGGAATTTCCACAGAACATTCTCATTTTTGGCGTTGTCTACCTGTTGACTGCACGATCATCCGTGAGCATCATCGTTAGGTCTCGATTGAGTCACCGCTCTACCGTACTATTATTTGGTGACTACAACCAAGCGGGTTTACAGTGGCGCTTTACCGACAGCGGCACACTATTCATTGACCCACTGCTATCGCATATGCCGGTGGCTTGCTGTACTTTTTTGGACGGATTTAACTAACACGGGTTTAGTTTGAGCTTGAGCTAGTTCGACCGCCCACGGTTGCTACTCTGTTATTGCCAGATCAGCTGTAATTACACAGAGAACCAATAGACGATGCTTGGGACTAGCAATCATCCTCAATGTGTAAAAACTGGTGATCTTAAATTAGGCAATACCGGCGCCGGCCGCGCCCGAACACAGGTCAAGAAAGGAATGGGTAGGAATGTGTTGACGTGACACTCGCTTTGATGGAAGCCGAGAACACCTCTGCACTTCCACGAGGAATCACTGGGATGTTGGATAAAAGGGTTGGGTTTGCAGCAGGGTTCGTTTTGGTAAACGATAAGGTGAATTGATGTCCTAACGATCATATAACGCGAAGGAGCTTGGGACTAAACCCACGGTCTTCTGCTCAGTAAGCAAAAACGTTTGCCACTAGGCAGACGAGCACCTTTTTAATCACCGAGTTGCTGTTAGTACCATGTAGTCATATTAACAAATAAAACGATTGACGAATCTTGAATGTGGAAGGGCCTGATATTAGACTCATGATGTTCTGCTCAGTAAGCAAAAACGGTTGCTCTAAGGCCACCGAGCCCCTAAATTCACATAATATCGTTGCTCAAATTTTTGTATCCATTCAAACCCGGAACCAACGACAACAACGAGTTTCGCAAAAAAAACGATACACAAGCGATTTTACCATAAATCTCTTTGATATGTAAGGACCTGGGACCGCGTTTTTCTGCTCAGTAAGCAGGCCACTGTAACCGACGATCTTTCAAATCCGAAAACTAAAAACTACGAAAAAGTACTTAGGCCTTCATTAAGTTCCACGTGTCGTTCAATGACAGGGTCCTATCCAGGATTACATCTGAAAAATCCAACTCTGGCCAACGCCCACCCTAAACCTAAACCTGTTCTAATCCACCTGAAATGACTAACGAATGGAAGACTTTGACTACCCAGCCATGCAATAGTCTCATTCCGTGCCTTATGGCAACTTGATGATTCTATTGCGCTCATCTTCTGGCACCACCCAGGGAAGACTAGGTCCTGTACCCAATGCTTAACTTATCTCCATTCCACTCAGCTACTCGCAATTTCTTGTAACATAGTGGGCGGAATATTATTATATGAGACAATTCAATGCAGACGTCTTTCCAAATTTGGCAGATCGACAGGTAATCGGTGAGTTACCACGATAGTTGTTATTCACCAACTCGACAACGTCCCATCGTCAACGCCTGCTATGAGAATTTCCCATTGCAGACGCCAACGAAATGACGTCGTTGAGCTATCGATCAACTACCCTGGTTATCGCCTGGTACCTTATAGCACGATGCTAGGAGGCGAACCGGAAGAATCGATGAGCTACCTCTCCCCCCGGATTTAACTTACACGGGTTTAGTCAAGAAACACTTTTCCCAACCGAAACGGACGTTTGTTAGATCTTGTCCTGGCAAATGATTTCGCATTACCGGCCACTAATCAGTCTAGATGCTGACCATTCCGCTCTCGTCGTGTCATTCAGGTTACCTAACTCCGATTTCAAATAGACAAAATCTACATTTTCTCAATTCTCAATTCTCTTCATCGACTCTCTCTTTCGTAAATAAGTCGACAGTGAGCATGCATAAGGGCGTAAACGCGATGATCGATTCTCTTCGTCGATTTTCTCTTTTGTTAATAGCTTGCTAGATTTCGACAGTGAGCATGCATAAGGGCGTAAACGCGATGATCGATTCTCTTCGTCGATTTTCTCTTTTGTTAATAACTCGCTAGATTCAACGTTTCTCGGTGCATTTGCCGTTGTTTTTGATAGCCAATACAACCTGTTACAACTCTGCATTGAACAAATTCTAGAGCATTGTTTCGCTTAGCTGTAGCAATGCAAAGAGAAAATCTATGAAGAGAATCGATCATACCGTATACGCCCTTATGCATGCTCACTGTCGATATGAAGGCGTTAAACGGAGTAAGCCAAGGAGTAAACAGACAGTAAATCGATGAACGTCGATTTAATTTTGAGGTACATTGAGTTACTCGCGAGTTACTCGCAGCAAAAACGGAACTCAGAGTAAAGCTGTCTCACCCCTTGGTAGCATCCATTGACTATTTTCAGCAACCAAAATTTAAAGGTAAATTTCACTGTATTTACCTATCAAAATTAGAAAGGGTCTAGTATAAGAGAGGAGCTGGTTTTAAGCCCAACGAACTGTCAAAGCCAGAGCCAATTGAGCAGCGCCTATCTTGATAACATTGGTAGTGTTGCTGGAAATCACCTAGGCATAGGTTGCCAAGGCAGTTTGTTTTGAATCCGCTACTCTTTTATACTAGACCCTTTCTAGGATTGATATGGGGTTGCCAGCCTACTGATCGAAACCGATTCACTAACTTCAACACTTATTTTTTAGACCCGTCGGCATTTACATCTTCTTCCCGGATTTTCGAGTATTTCACTTGACTGTCAATAGCCATCTGATCTGATTCCTCACGAACGGCAATTCGATCCCGGTCCAGACGAAACTACCTTACCGTTGCGGTTAGCCATCACAACAATTGGGGACCACGTTTAGTTTTATCGGCACTTCTACTTCGTCGAGTTTCCCGATCGCTTTCACTACACGGCGAATGAGAACGACTCAAATTTGAGTTTAGTTCACTCATAATCGCCAAAAGTGCAGGAACTCAGCGATGAGTAAAATTTGTCCCATGGTTTCCTGTGGAAAACCTAAAAAATCTGCCGGAAAATGAGGAAATTGACGAAAATTGTATTCAGTCTCGGAGTAGTACCAATAGACTGAGTGAATCCAATCTTTACTTTTCTAGAATTCAGGAATTTTTCCCTGGAAAATCCTGGGAAAACATGAGGCAAATTAAGTCATCGCTGAGTTCCTGCACTTTTGGCGATTATGAGTGAACTAAACTCAAATTTGAGTCGTTCTCATTCGCCGTGTATTTTGTCCTCCAAATCCAACCAAGGTCCTATTGGTCGTTTCACTATTACCGGCTTTCTCTGACCCTGAGTTGATCAGAGCGTTCAATTTCCACGACTCGCACAAAGTTATTTTCTTCGTCTACTACCTGTATTCTCGAAGGTGTAGGTCTTCGATGACTTCGGATTCGGACAATTTTTCGCCATATGGCCAATAACACTACAATTGTAGCAGAATCTTTCATCAAACGCTGGACAAGACTCCACTTTATGCCCCGGCTGACTACATCTATTAGCACGTCGCTACCTTTTCAGCTGCGATATCAACTCTTCTACGGGCTCAATTCTTCCTCCCAACTGCACGCGGGACTTAGAGACGAACTTTCCCAATCCAGCGATCACGTATTTCAATATTATTACACCTTCACCAAAGCCACTTGAGACGACACATACTCTGCGATCGTCTCATCTCTCATTTTCCGACGCTTGGTCGCGAGCCGATAGGTAAGCTCGCGACCAACTTCGCCGAAAATAGAGCCCCTTGGCTTCATTTTGCCCACCAGCCCACCACAATTTAGCGGACCCTTCTAGATTCAAACGAACACAATGAAATTTTGTCAGCCCTTCCCATCCGTAATGCACAGCAGTAGTTTCGATCTCTTGTATCCAGTCTTTGGCCGAAAGACAGGTTGCTTGCTTCGGATCGAAGTTTCTTTTTTTTTACGTTGGACTACGTCTTTAATTTCTATACTGGGGTTCACATTTAAAAAAAATCTAAATTCAGACATGTAACGAAAAACCCCATACAAGGACGCAACGATAGAGCGCAAATCGAACAAACTACACATTGCGCATGTCACATGAGTGAGCTCAATGTCCGGTTGACCGCTCACCATTTCACTAATGAAAGGAAGGGAGGAGAAAAGCAGCGATCATAAAAAACGCTTGTCAAATCGTTTTCTTCGTCATTTGCTTTCGAGCAACGGACGGATAAGCGTCGGACAGTGCATGTCGGATTACTCCATCACTATTGAGAAATGATGAAGTATTCGATTTTTTTACAGTTGTAATTCTTGCATTCATTGCAAGGATCCGACTATAATTGAAAGGTCCCGCTATTTAAACCCTTCGGAGCAGAGTTACTTCCACTCACTTGCTATAAAAAATTGTGTTTCCGAATTATGAACACATTAGATGTGATAATGATAATTAGTACTTGTAAGTTACAAGAAGAGGTCGTGACGTATGTGTTTGACACATTACACCTGTCAACATTGCTTTCAATGCGTCACAATCAACGATTTAACGATTCGTGAGCGCTCACTCAGAGTGAACGCTCGCGAATCATAAGATCGCCGATTGTGACGTTCTGAAAGCGAAATTGACAGGTTTTATGAGTCAAACACATCCTTTACACCCTTTTCTTGTTACTTACAAGTACAGCATGTCATTATATCATCTAATGATCTCATAATTTAGAAAACCATTGTTTTATAGCAAGTGAGTGGAAGCAACCCTGCTTCGGAGTGTTGAAACACCCTCCAAAGCGCGCCCTTTTGTCAGTCAAAATAAGATTCCTTGGCAACAAAATTAAGGTATGACACCGATAATGATCATGCATCAGAACCCTAGTCTTAACCACTTCAAACTGGAGAACAACGAATAGAATATTAGGAACCACATAGGTGAAGACTAACTCATTTTTTCCTTGTTTCAAGATCATCCTCGGTGGACAAAGCCGAGTCTTGTCACTATCAACAAGGCATAAAAAGCAAAAAGGACTAAGATGTGTTCCTTTGATTACTGAAAAATCTTGTTCCCCTAGTTTGAAGTAGTCAGGACAAGGAATCGGTGGTAGATCTAACATCCCGTAACGTACCACGAAAAGGTGATCTACCCACGTTACGGGGCTTGAATTTACTTATTAGCTCTCGTAGCTCACGGAAATCTGGCCGTCGAACCGCCTCACGTGCATGATTACTTTCCGAATTTCTCGTAGCAACAAGTTCGCTGTATGTCTTCAAAAATGCCTTAGTCTTTAAGCATCAATCTGATTACATTTTTACGACTGAGCAATCCTGTTAGGCCACATTTTTCTATAAATGAAATACACGCACTACAAAATGAGCCTGATTCCGAGTTGCCGATAATATAAAAACTGGTTAACATGCAGCTCTAATGGAAAGGTTGCCGAAGAAAAAGAGGCAGCCGACAATAGTCGCACTCACCTGAGAAGTTTGGAGCGTTGTAAAAACGCTTTCAAACGGTTTTGAACAATTCTGTCGATTAGAAGGGATAGACAAGCATGCAGCAGATAAATGTAAGCAAACAAACAATTCTTATGAGTGTGGGACGCTTAGAAAATTCTCCTATGTTGATGTTGCGGAAATTCCCAGTCGATGGATGGTCTCGAAGCTGGTACTGAAATCGCGCCGAAATGAATTGGCGCTGTAGACGACGTTGGGGCGTTGATGTTTTACACGTGGCGGAAATGGCAAAATGGCCGCTCTGTCGAAACGGTTTGTTTCCTTCCGGCTTTCCTCTCAAGCCGGGACTTTTGACGCAGAATCGTGGGGTCGAGAGTCGCGCTTTATCTCGAGATGCGGTGTGTCGAGCTTCGGCCATATATCGCTAGAAGCGAATCCTACATAAAAAGCCGTCGAACGGCTGTTCGACGCGTTAACAATAAAATTTCCACACAAAACAATTATCCACGAATTACCTTTTCTCTACGTACGCACACACAAAAATTGACCGCACGTCAACTTTGACCTAACTGCTGAACTTTAGGCTAAACGAAGGAAACAAAAGTAACATTAAATTCGATCACTAGACTTCTCACATTTTTATAGGTACCAATTAAAACACACCGCGACACAAGAAAACTATTTCACGCACTCTCGCCTCTTCCACGGTCCAGGTCAAAATGGACGAGTGGACGTTCCGAAAACCCTCAGATCAAATCGTGATCATAGTCTTCGTGGCCGGAAGTACGTCAATTACCGAAGTAATTAACGACCTTTTCAAACGACAAATCTCATCAACTACGATCTCGAGCCGATTGAACACTCTATCTCTTTCTCGCTCGTACCGTTTGATTAAACTGTCTCGCTTCAATCTATTTCTGGTTTGATTGATTTTTTTACGAGAGAGAATGTTCGGATTCGAACCTCGGACTTTACGACGAGTCTCGCAAACCAGTGAACGTTTCCAGTGGCGGAACAAATGAAATTATAAGCCGAGGAATGCCATCACCGATCGAAGCAGAAAATGTGTCATTTTTGGATATTTTGGGCTCACCACAATCATCGCAATCTACCTCCAACTCGTCATCACACGATGCCAGCAGTAGTAACAGCAATAGCTGCAATATTTCATCGGGCATGAGCAATGGTTCCCATCAGCAGCTATCGCTGGCGTCCTTTTCGTCTCTTGAATGTCCTGACAGTGCCAGCATACTGAGCCTGAGTGGGTCCAACACGGCCTCGTCGCCAGTTATCAGCACCAGCAATCCCTTCCATTTCTCCGGATTGTCAATGTCCAGCTCCAGTCTGAGCTCACCGGAGATTGGCAGCAAGGGAGGCAATGGAGGAGGAGGTGGGGGTGGCGGCGGCAGTGGCAGCGGTGGCCAATCGCCAACCTACTACGGTAGCAGTGTGCACTAGTCGAAGAACTATGACGATTTTCGATTCGACAGCGACATCAGTTTATCCGGATCAAACGGCGCAAACAGTTTAACCTCAGAGACGTTAAAGCTGCTGCAGCGTAATATGGGCACTTATGACTGCTCCATGCCGACATCCCCCAACACATCCTCCACGGAGCAATGCACACGATATTTTCGCGGATCGCAACAACTCGGCGACCTGAATCAGAGCTTCGAGGCAAACCACATCCTCCCTCTTAGGTGGTAATCAGTCTCTGTCACGTTCCAATTCCCCGCCCGACAACGACTCCAGTTTGCTGTCCAATTTCGATAGCACCAACATTTTGGACATGATCAATTATCTCACCATCAGCCAACAGCAGCAGAAAGGGGAATAACCAGCAGCATTATACCAACAACGGTAGCAGCATTGGTAGCAGTAGTAACAATAACAACAACAGCAGCTCCCAGTATAGTCAGATACCGAATATGAGTCAGTTCTATCCGCATCAATCACAGGGAGGATCTTCATTCGGGAATGAAAATTGCAACAGTCAACCTAGTAGTAGCAACGGTGGCAATAGTTTCGCTACTGACTATGAACGGCTGCAAAATTTGCAGGCATCTCACTGCGTCCTAGCAAGAAGAACGGTCGACTTGTTTCGCGCTCCGTTAATTTGGAAGTTTTCTCGCTATTATCTGACGTAAATAATCAGTTTTTTCTCGCTTAGTGATTCCTGGCATAATTCCCGATAAATTTATCAAAAAGTGAGTTTTTTTTTCTGAGAAGAAAGTGTGTTTTCGGCATCATCGGAAGGAAAATTGTTTTTGCGATTGCCAATTCGCCAACCATTTTGCGCACCATCGGTGCGTGGTCACGCATACCTGTGCACGGATCATCGTCATCGAGTGTCAGCATCTGCCTCCACATTCAAACCGCTCATCCATCTCGTGTGTTCAGCTGAGTGCCGAGCTTCATACAAGCACACACCAACGAAGACCGCCCGCACACGCGGATCGAAGATCATCAAAGCTGCGCGTCGCTCCGCTGCTGCTGTGTAAACGCTCGGTGGTAGTAGTATAGGATTATCAGATAAGTTTTTGTTCTTGTTTCTTTCTCTCTCCCATCAGTTAAATTTTAAGTTTGTGTTTCTGTGTTTGTATTTTTTTTTTTTTTTCGTGTATTGTGTCCGAGTAATTTTGATTATCGTTGCAGTGGTAGAGCGTTTTTCGCTCCCACTAGTACGGCAAAATGGACATTTTGTCGGAAGACGAAATGGACGTTTTGTCGGAAGATGACACCACTTTGCCACGCGATAGCAAGAAGGGTCGAAAACGTCTGTCATCCCAGAAATCAGATGATGTCATCCCTGGTTCGTCATCTCAGTCTGGTAATGGGCAGGGACAGATAAGCCCCCGATCGCGAGCCTACCCAGAAGACTCGACTGGCCCATGGGTTGTTTACTTTCAGCCCAAAAAGAAACCTTTGAATGTAATGCAAATTACTAATGATCTGACGAAGCGGTTCTCGGCCGTGACCGAAATCTCGAAGGTGAGGTACAATAAACTTCGCGTTGTCGTCTCTAACCTGAAACAAGCTAACGAGATTGCTGCCTCCCAGCTCTTTACACTCGAGTATAGAGTGTACATCCCAGCTCGTAATGTGGAGATCGAAGGTGTGGTCACCGAAGCGAGTCTGACCCCCGAGATCTTGGCGAAGCAAGCGGTTGGCCGTTTCAAAAACCCCTTGCTTCCCACGGTTGAGATACTGGAAGTCCAGAAGCTGAACTCAGTATCTTTCAGCGAGGGTAAAAAGAGCTTTACCCCCACAGACTCGTTTCGAGTGACCTTTTCTGGTTCAGCCCTTCCTCACTACATCGAGTTGGGAAAACTTCGGCTACCTGTGCGTTTGTTTGTTCCTCGGGTCATGAACTGCCAAAACTGCAAACAGTTGGGACATACGGCCTCTCACTGTGGCAGCAAGGCACGCTGTTCCAAATGCGGGGAGAAGCACGAGGATGGCGCCTGCACAGTCACTGCACCAAAATGCGTGTACTGTAAGGGAACTCCTCATGGTCTCTCATCGTGCCCGGCGTACAAACAACGCGGGGAGAAACTAGAACGCTCTCTTAAGGAGCGTTCCAGGCAGTCTTTTGCAGCAATGCTAAAAACAGCCACACCATCAACCAACGACAAAAATCCCTTTGCTGTTTTGTCTGATGACGAGTCTGACTCTGACTTGGCTGAGGAGGGAGTTTCTTTCAGTTTTCCGGAAGGTTCTGCACGGAAACGAAAACGCATCCGTTCGCGGAAAGTTGCAGATAAGGAACCCCAAATCAGCTTGCCCAAATCAAGGAGTGATGGAAAAAAGGAAGTTTCAACTCCTCCTGGTTTCCGCAGAACTGACTATAACCAGAACTTTCCATCTCTCCCGGGGACATCAAAAACCCCTGATGGCCCATTTTTAAGAACAGAAGCCCCTTCTTCATCCGGGTTGTTCTCATTTGATAAAATTGTGGACGATATTCTCAAGTACCTCAATATTTCTGATCCTCTCAAAAGCATTGTTCTGGCAATGCTTCCTTCTGTGAAGACCCTCTTGAAGCAATTGACATTGAAGTGGCCCCTCATTGCAGCAATCATTTCCTTCGATGGATAATTTTCCAAACGAGGTCGAGGATTTGATCACTGTTCTACAGTGGAATTGTCGAAGTCTCATTCCTAAATTAGATTCTTTTAAGTTTTTAATTCACAATAATGATTGTGATGCATTTGCTGTTTGTGAAACTTGGCTCTCTTCAGATATCGATCTTCCTTTTTATGATTTTAACATTATTCGACTGGATCGTGAGGATTCGCGTGGAGGAGGGGTACTTTTGGGGATCAAAAAGTGCCATTCCTTCTATAGAGTGAATCTTCCACAATTTCCAGGTATTGAAGTTGTTGCATGTCAGGCTATTATTAAAGGTAAGAGCCTTTGTATTGCTTCTGTTTATATTCCTCCTAGAGCCGTTGTTAATCGCAAACAACTTTCAGATATCGGTTCGGTACTTCCTGCTCCACGGTTGATTATGGGAGATTTGAATTCCCACGGTACAGGCTGGGGGGAACTGCATGATGACAACCGTTCTACTTTGATATATGACCTCTGCGACAGCTTTAATATGACAATTCTTAACAATGGAGAAGTAACACGTTTGGCTGGCCCATCCTCGAATGGAAGTAGATTAGACCTCACACTTTGCTCTAACTCATTATCGTTGGATTGCACGTGGAATGTGATCCAAGATCCCCACGGTAGTGATCACTTGCCGATCAAAGTTTCAGTTGCCAGTGGGTTCAATCCGTCGGAACCCGTTAACGTCGCGTACGATCTTACCCGTAATATCGATTGGACAAAGTTCAAGAATGTGATAGAAGATGCCCTAACGTCGGTAGAAGGGCTTCCACCGTTGGAGGAATATAACTTCCTCTCCAATCTGATCTTGGACAGCGCGCTTCAAGCTCAAACTCGGCCGGTTCCAGGAACGTCTTTCCGTAGGAAACCTCCTTCCCCTTGGTGGGACCAGCAATGCACTGAGGTTTATCGTAAAAAGTCCGACGCGTTTAAGCTTTTCCGGAAACGTGGAACACCCGTACATTTCGAAGCGTACTCGGCTCTTGAACGCGAACTCAAGAGCCTCATCAAAGCCAAGAAACGCGGATACTGGCGGCAATTCGTGGACGGATTATCGCGCGAAACGTCGATGAATACGCTTTGGAATGCGGCGCGAAGGATGCGTAACCGGTCTTCAAACAACGAGAGCGAGGAGTACTCCGATAGTTGGATTCTCAAGTTCGCGCGAAAAGTATGTCCTGATTCTGTGCCGGCACAGATGATTCCTCGCGAAACGACGAATTCGGTAGACGAGATCAGCCAGCCTTTTTCAATGCTGGAGCTCTCACTCGCGCTCCTTTCGTGTGGCAATTCGGCTCCGGGGGCTGATAGAATCAAGTTCAACTTGTTGAAGAACCTCCCAGACGTCGCTAAGAGGCGCATGTTGAACTTGTTTTGTCAGTTCCTGGAGTTCAATATTGTTCCAGATGATTGGAGGCGAGTGAGAGTTATAGCCATTAAAAAGCCTGGAAAACCCGCTTCAGATCATAACTCGTATCGTCCCATCGCGATGTTATCGTGCATTCGAAAATTGTTGGAGAAAATGATCCTTTTTCGCCTCGACAAATGGGTTGAGACGAACCACCTACTCTCAGATACTCAATTTGGTTTCCGTAGGGGCAAGGGAACGAACGACTGTCTCGCGTTGCTTTCCACTGAAATTCAGTTGGCTTTTGCTAATAAAGAGCAAATGGCGTCTGTCTTCTTGGATATTAAGGGGGCTTTTGATTCAGTATCGGTTGAAGTCCTTTCAGACAAACTCCACGCTTGTGGCCTTTCTCCATTAATTAATAACTTTTTGTACAATTTGCTGTCAGAGAAACATATGAGCTTTTCTCATGGAAACTCTACAGCTTCACGATTTAGCTACATGGGTCTCCCCCAGGGCTCATGTTTAAGCCCCCTTCTGTATAATTTCTACGTCAGAGAAATTGACAATTGTCTAAGGGACAACTGCACGTTGAGACAACTTGCAGATGACGGAGTAGTGTCTATGACAGGACCCAGAGAGGCCGACCTGCAAGGACCCTTACAGGATACCTTAGACAATTTGTCTACTTGGGCTATCCAGCTAGGTATCGAATTCTCCACGGAGAAAACTGAGTTGGTCGTTTTTTCTAGGAAGCATAGCCCAGCACAACCAAAGCTTCAACTTTTGGGTAAACCGATCACTCATTCTATGTCCTTCAAATATCTTGGGGTCTGGTTCGATTCAAAATGCACCTGGAGATCCCACATTGAGTATCTGAAGCGGAAATGCCAACAAAGGATCAATTTTCTCCGAACAATTACCGGAACGTGGTGGGAGGCCCATCCGCAAGATCTTCTAACGTTGTACCGGACAACGATTTTATCGGTTTTAGAATACGGTAGTTTTTGTTTCCAGTCGGCGGCTAAAACTCACATCATCAAACTGGAACGGATCCAGTATCGCTGTCTTCGTATCGCGTTAGGATGCATGCACTCGACTCATACAATGAGTCTCGAAGTGTTAGCGGGCATGTTGCCACTCTCTGATCGGTTTTCGGAATTATCCCTCAGGCTCCTCACCCGTTGTGAAATTATGAACCCACTGGTGATTGCAAACTTTGAGAAGCTTCTTGAGCTAAACCCTCAAACTCGTTTTATGTCATTGTACTACGTGTACATAACACAGGATGTCAGCCCTTCGCAGCATAATCCCTATCGTGTTTGCTTCTCCGACTTCGACAGTTCTGTTCATTTTGATTTATCAATGACGCAAGAGATTCGCGGAATCCCAGAGCATCATCGTTCCATGATTGCTCCGTCAATTTTCGCTGCAAAGTTTGGCCAAGTTGATTCCGCAAGATCGTTCTTCACAGATGGATCACTAATAGAGGCGTCCGCTGGTTTTGGTATTTATAACGAATTTCATAGCGCCTCTCGAATGCTTCATGCTCCTTGTTCCGTATATGTTGCTGAACTGGCGGCAATACATTATACGATAGAAACGATCGCCTCACTTGCACCAGATCATTATTTTATTTTTACGGATAGTCTCAGTTCTGTCGAGGCTATTCGCTCCATGAGGCCGGTAAAGCACTCCTCGTATTTTCTCATGAAAATACGAGAGCTTCTAAGTGCTTTATCTTTAAGATCTTTTGTCATCACCTTTGCATGGGTCCCATCTCATTGCTCGATTGCGGGCAATGAGAAGGCGGACTCGCTTGCAAAGGTGGGCGCTATGGAAGGCGATATTTACGATCGACAAATCGCCTACGACGAATTTTTCTTCATTTATCGTCAACAGTCACTCGCCAGCTGGCAAAATAAATGGAGTGAAGGGAGTTTGGGACGATGGTTGTATTCAATTATCCCTAAGGTGTCGAAGTGTCCTTGGTTCAAAGGTTTGGAGGTGGGTCGAGACTTCATTCGTGTGATGTCTCGCCTCATGTCCAATCACTATTCACTAAGCGCTCACTTGTTCCGTGTTGGGCTGGGGGACAGTAATCTCTGTGAATGTGGACAAGGTTACCAGGACGCAGATCACATTATTTGGTCATGTGCTGAGCACCGTGGAGTCAGATCCGAGTTGTACGATTCCCTTCGCGCTCGAGGTAGACAACCTAATGTTCCAGTTCGGGATATTTTGGCTAGACGCGATCTGGAGTTTATGCAACTCATATATGTTTTCTTGAAGAATATTAACCATAGATTGTAAGTTTGATTAACCTTGTGTTTAGTTTGTGTTTTGTATGTGTGTGTGTATTTTTTTTTGTAGATTTGTTTCTGTAATAATTGTATAATTACAGAGTTGATATAACGTCGATAGGATTAAGTATTTGTTTTAGAAATAGTGAAATTTTTGAATCATAAATCATATTCCAAATCTCCTTTTCCCTCTCCCGATCCAAACAATTGTCATCCACTAACCTCGAGAAGACCGCGAGTAATCGGTTCCAATCCTTTAATTTTAGATTTAAGACATTTATAATGTATAAAGAAAATGATAACTTGGCTCTGTAAAGTTTATTCGAATGAGCCTGTACAAATAAAGTAATTAACAAAAAAAAAAAAAAAAAACATTTTGGACATGATCAATTATCTCACCATCAGCCAACAGCAGCAGAAAGGGGAATAACCAGCAGCATTATACCAACAACGGTAGCAGCATTGGTAGCAGTAGTAACAATAACAACAACAGCAGCTCCCAGTATAGTCAGATACCGAATATGAGTCAGTTCTATTCGCATCAATCACAGGGAGGATCTTCATTCGGGAATGAAAATTGCAACAGTCAACCTAGTAGTAGCAACGGTGGCAATAGTTTCGCTACTGACTATGAACGGCTGCAAAATTTGCAGGCACTGAACACATTGCGTATGTTGCAACAGTCGCAACAACTGTCGCAATTGCAGCTGCAGCAATATCATTTCAATAAACTGCTTCCGAGCTACAACAGTACTCAGCTCAAGAACTGGTCTTTGCAGAATTCACCTCCCTCGTCATCATGCAACGGTGCCAATGATATCAATCTGGACCGGATTGCACGATTTCACCGTTCATCAGCTGCACATTACGATGCGACTTGCACGTGGAGTGGTGTACTTCCCCCACGTTCCCATCGATTGGTGACATATTCGTCGAAATTTTTCCTCGGCGGGATGCCTTGGGATATCAGTGAACAATCACTAGTTCAGATCTTCAAGCCATTCGGCTCCATAAAGGTTGAATGGCCTGGCAAGAAACAACAGGCGACACAGCCCAAAGGTTACGTCTACATTATCTTCGAATCGGACAAACAGGTCAAAGCTTTATTGCAGACTTGTACCTATACAGACGCGAAAAGTTACAATGGTTCAAGCCGTGGTACCAGCTCATCATCGTCGGGTATTCTAACGTATTCATTCGGTGGGGAAGAACAGCAACAACAACTATCAGGACAACAACAACAGCTTGTGCATCAGAATAAACCCCTTCCAACACCGGGAGCTCGAATCAACTTCAAAATATCCTCCAAACGCATCAAATCGAAAGACGTTGAGGTTATTCCATGGAATATTGCCGATTCCAACTTTGTCAAGTCCACTTCGCAAAAACTTGATCCAACAAAGACCGTATTCGTTGGTGCGCTACATGGACAACTGACGGCGGAAGGTTTGGCTAAGATTATGAATGACTTGTTCGATGGAGTAGTGTACGTCGGCATCGATACAGACAAATACAAGTACCCGCTCGGTTCGGCACGAGTAACTTTCAACAATTCGCGCATTACTATCACTACAATTCGCTGCATGTCTCGCCCAAGTCGCCTTCGCCACCGTGCAATAACAGCAGCAGCAGTTCAGCAGATTCATCGCCAATCTCCTGTCACGGACCGGCCAATTTACACCAACAGCTGCAGCAACAGTTCGGCGGCCTCTAAACAGTGAGTGACAATCCTAATCTTCTCATTTCCTTTCCGACTGCATATGACTGCAGCACGTGTGGCCAAAGTCACATCATTCTGGTGTGAAGATTTGCACCAGCCGTTGTTATCTAGGTGTTATTTTTGATCATAAATGTTGCAACATTTTGTTTGTTACCTTCCTACCGTCGTAATCCTATGCGTTTTACGTATTTATCAATGCTCTACCTATGCATCAATCGGCCAATAATCATTCGTGAGATGTGAAACTAGTCGCGGATAGCGAAGTGTGGCACTGAAATACACCCGTCGAGGAATTTCTTTGGGAAATTTCTAGGCATGAAATATCCTCCATGCAAAGGAATTCCACCGGGAGGAAATCACTATTTCGCCTGCATCGATTCGTAATATCTCCAGCACGTTTGGCTGAACATTGTTGTATTTAGTAATAATAGTCTGAAATTATTATTTAAATTGCAACAAGTTGCAAAAACAAATGGCATACCATGGATTGAAATGGTACACCAGTAACATGACGTCAAGAGATCGTACGGGTTGATAGCGATGCCAAATACGAACGATGTATAACTTTCGACTATCCAAAGCGTTGAACAAGCTCCAATACTTAAGAAGGCAGTTGTTAGGGAAGAGTAATAGGCTAAGACTTGTAAATCCTAATATGTGTTTGATTACTTTTAAGCGGAATGAGAAATCGTTTAAAACAAAAACAGAAATGAAACGAAACGCTTGCATACAAGCTGCCTTCCAAATTCATTTGTAATGGTGATTTCAATTTAATTTAAGTGACCATGTAGTTATTATGTAATGAATATAAATAATAAATAAATAACGTGAACGATAATTATTAATGGAATTCAAAAATAGATGGAAAAAAACAGAATATAAATTCAAATAAATAAGTGGCAATCCTTAAATTAGTTAAATTATATTTACATAAAAGTGACCATGCTACAAAATATCTTAGGTAAAAATAAAAGGACCTTTCAAGAGCGTCAAGAAATATTTCATCCTGTTCTAAATGGTGGTTAACCAACTCGACTGACATTGTCATTATCCAGCAAGAGCTGTTGCATGGCACTGCATCAGCAGTGAAAACCGATGGCATTGTTAAGTGTAATCATGAAAAAGAACTTGCGATGATGCTGTCGTTAGCGCAATATTTCCGAATGAATTGACTTAATGAACAGTAATTAACAAACGCAAAATTACCATCAACCAATCGATGGCCACAGACAATCGCACATACAACATAAAACATTTCCCAAAATGATAAATTTTTCACCCCAGCAGGCCTGGGTTCAATCCAAGTCAGCGCCGCCGGGATGTTGGCATAACATCTCTGATCACGCCTTCCTTCGGATTGGAAGTGAACCCGTTGGTCCCTATAGTCGCTATATTCATAGTCTGGCGGATAGAATTTCGATCTATCAAAAAGCGGAACCAATTCAATATATTGTAGACCAACAATTAAAAAGGTACTATCAACTTTTAAAAACAAAACGTGGATTATTCTTCCCTCGCCAATCGAAGTTAAATTACCAGCTTCATCGGATAGGGGAAACTTTCCACAACCTAAAGATGGTGTTTGTTTGCGTAGGCGAGCCTTGAATCACGAGAAAAGGGGTTCCGAAGTTTCGTTCGCAACAGCTGATGTGCTCTTTTCTGTTGTTGGTCGAGATTTGCTCGATTGGTTCCGCTATTTGACAGTTTAATTGGTTCCCGAGATTCTATCCGCCAGACTATGAATATAGCGACTATAGTTGGTCCCCGGTTCATGAGTTGATGGGTCGATAGGTAGGGTCCAGGTGTGGGAGCTGCCTCCCTGGCGTCGGTAGCATTGGTGCTCAGCATGAAAAACAAGATCGACGGAAATACAAATCAAGAAAAAAAAATTGTTAATTTACAGGCCTGCTGAGAAACAGAATTGGAATAGAAAATTTCAAATTGCAAGCAAACCTGTCAAATGTCAGACTGGATTTCCATTATGACAACACTGTGAAATATTTGCACCAGATGCTGAACAGGTTGCACTTGGAAGCAATTGTGACGATGATTTTTCACGCATTGTGCTCTATGTATAACATCCAGATCCGCTTGGCTGTGCACGTGCCATCGTTCATGGAAATAAGCGATGACCCTCTTTTTCTCTGGAATATTTTTCCCGCCACCCTGCCTCTATCAATCTGCATTTCCCCTCCAATCTCGATGTTCGTTTTAGTTTGCCAGAATCGCATTTGCATAAATCTCGCAACAAGTTTTTCTACTTTAGCGAAGCAATAAAACTTCCAAAGCAAAGTTGGCTTCTTGCTAAGTGCAACGTTGTTCTATGCGCCATCGGAGAATGGGTCAGGCGGGGAGGTGGGTGGGATGACAACGCTATCACCGTTTTGCATAAGCTCACCGCCGCTCGGTTGTTTGTTTTGTCCGTTGAAAGGTTGACAAACAAAAATACGACCGACCGCACGTGCCGTGGACAGTCGACTTTTAATTAACCGAGATAGTGTGTCAACTTTAATTGGAAAACTAATGATTCATCGTTACGTAAGTACGGATTCAGGATTGATCGACTTTATAAGACATTAACTGAGGTCGAAAAAGCTTTACAAATTATGTGGAAATGCGAATCGCTTAGTGCTATCTGTGCAATATGTGCAGAGGATCTCTACCACTGAAGGCTTGTTTTGTAGTAGCCGATGACCAGACTTTTTGTAATGCGAAATTACAGCCCATAAACGAAGATAACGACTAGGACTTTTACTACATTCGCTTCGTTGACGTGCGCGATAGTCTGTTTGTATTTGTACTCTCATGCTGTACCGTCGTCTCTCTTACACAACACAAACGGTAGAACAATATTCGAGCAAAAATAAAATTATCAAATAACTATCATATGACATGTGTGATTTCGTTCTAGCTCCTCAATTTGGTATAAATTAACACTCCGAATACGATGCCTCCGAAAAACGTGTAACGGCAAGTTTGCAAAGGCACAACTTAGCCATTTCTTAATGAATTTCAAAAATTGTGATGCCTTTAGAATTCCTAGGGTTTCTAGATGATTTTCATTGCAAAAAACTTGAAAATAGAGTAGTCTTCTTTTTTAAAAAGCGAAAAGAGTTGTTACACGTTTTTTTGAAAGGTGTGTTTGTAGGGTTTTGCAAGTGGCGCAAGATCTGTAATTTAGATTAATGGGCACAAATGTTCACAATTAGCCAAAATACAGTCATGGTTCCTATATATGGATTCAGGAGACAACGGAACGGTCCTCGAAAAATCCGGAACATCCGTAAAAATGGTCAATCCATGATCCTGATCCTAGAGCTCTGCGGTTTTTTTGAAAACATTAGGAACTGTGATACAAAAAAATATTTGGGGTCGTGACATAAACATGCACCTGGATGGCCATGGGATCGTCCTCCGGAAGATCCGGAACATCCTTAAAAGTGGACAATCCATGAAACTGATCCTAGAGCTACGCGTTTTTTTTAACATCAGGATCTGTGATATAGAATGAATTTGGGTCATGGACCAAGATGGCCATCGGACCGTCCAGCGGAAGATTCGGAACATCCGTGAAAGTGGTAAATCCACGATCCTGATTCTAGAGCTCCGTGGTTTTCTTGAAAACATTAGGAACTGATAGAAAGAATTTGGGCTTGAGACATAAACATGAGCCTGGATGTCCATGAGACCGTCCTCCGAAAGATCCGGAACATTCGTGAAAGTGGAAAATTAACGAAACTGATCCTAGAGCTCCGTGGTTTTCTTGAAAACGTTATTCCACAGTTTTTGAAAAAACACTAAGAACTGAGATGATAGAATGAATTTGGGGTCGTGACCTAAACATGGACCTTGATGGCCATGAAACCGCCCTCTGGAAGATCCGGAACATCCGTGAAAGTGGAAAATTCACGAAACTGATCTTAGAGCTCCGTGGTTTTCTTGAAAACGTTAGGAACTGTGATACTAGAATGATTTTGGGATCGTGACATAAACATGTACCCAGAAGGCCATAAGACCGTCCTCCGCAAGATCTAGAACATCTTTAAAAATGGTCAATCCTCGAAACTGATCCTAGAGTTCTACGGTTTTTTCGAAAGCATGTGGAACTGCGATATAAGAAATATTTTGGGGTCATGACATAAACATGGACCCAAATGGCTATGGGGCCATCCTCTGGTGTGTCCAGAACATCCGTAAAAGAGGTTAATCAATTCAACTGATCCTTGAGCTCCGCAGTTTTTTTCCAAAAACATTAAGAACTGTGATATAAGAATGAATTTGTGATCGTGACTTAAACATGTACCAAGATAACCGGAAGATAAACAACATCCGTAAAATGGTCACTCCATAAAATTGAGAGGTGGAAGCAATACTATGACGAGCACCTCAACGGTGATGCAGAAAACGAAGGTGGCACGGCACCAGACCTTGGAGCATGTGCAGAAGACGACAGACTACTGGCCCCTGATCTTCAAGAAGTTGAGGAGGAGATCGGTCGACTGAAGAACAACAAAGCAAGTGGTGTAGATCAACAACCAAGTGAGCTATTAAAAAACGGTGGTGAAGCACTGGCTAGAGCGCTGCACTGGGTAATTGTCAAGATTTGGGAGGAGGGGATATTACCGGAGGAGTGAAGCAAGGTGTTGTATGCCCAATCTATAAAAAGGGCGACAAGTTGGATTGCTGCAACTACCGCGCGATCACACTACTGAGCGCCGCTTACAAGATACTCTCCCAAATTATACCGCGCCACCTGTCACCATTTGTAAGAGATTTCTTGGGCAATACCAGCAGGGATTCATGGGTTCATATTCGCGATTCGGCAGGTTCTGCAGAAATGCCACAAATACAACTTGCTTACACATCATTTGTTCATCGATTTCAAATCCGCATATGACACAATCGATCGTGATCAGCTATGGCAGATTATGCACGAGTACGGATTTCCAGATAAACTGACGCGATTGGTCAAAGCAACGATGGATCGAGTGATGTGCGTTG